CTGTGCCCTGGCCGTGCCAGCGCACAGGCTCCTCCGGGTACGTGTCAAAGTTCCTGCAGTCTCCAGGGCCGGTCACCTGTCGTGACATTGGTGCGCAGTCAGGGCGGGGGAGGGGAGTGTGAGGTGAGAAGGGGAAGACAAGAGAGTGTGTGTGTGTGTATGTGTGCGCGCGAGAGTATGTGCGTGCGTGCGTGTCTGTGTGTGATTGATGCTGCTTTGATAAGCAAAGATGTCATAACACCACACGCCGTGTGCCACAGCGGTGAATTCCACCATCCACAGCCGCAGTCCACGACCAAAAGCGCAGGGACGAAAGCACCTTTGGAATGTAGGGGGAGATGGCGGTTTGGGAGTAGAGCGAGTCCCAGTCGATCTTGGCAAAGTAAGGGTGGCCCTTGATGTCGTCGACACCAGCGTGCATGTTCCCCAGGCGGCGCGTCAGGTCAACCTGAACACACACACACACACACGCACACACGCGATGAAGTGGTGGAAGCACGGGTGAAACAACAAAAGGGAAGGGGGTGGGAGTTGGTGAATTGTACGTGAGTGAAGGCAGACAGACGTGTGAACACGAGAGCATACAGTCTTTGTGTGTGCAGAGTTTGCAAAAAAGGTCGACTGAAGCAAGATGCGCACATGCACACCAAACGCATGCATAGATGCACAATCAGGCGCAATCAACCACGCACGCGCACCTGGAGCAGGCCGTTGATGAAGGACTTCTCGTTGTCTGTGAACCCGCTGGGAAACTTGAAGTCGCGCTTTGTGATCCTCTTGAACATTTCCATCTGGGAGCGAGACTCAAATGGGGAGCGGCCGCAACGCATCTCGTATGTCAGCACACCGACGGCCCACCAGTCCACGGCGTGGCTGTAGCCTGATTGGTTGGGTTGTTTGGGTTGATTGTTTGGGTTGGGTTGGTGTTGGTGGTGGCGGGCAGGGAGTAATGCGAGTGAGTGTGAATGTGAGTGGACGCAGATGACGCATGCCTGAGCAGCGAGAGCAGGAGAAATAGCCAATGCACACGCAAGCACACACACACACACACACACACACACAGACACACACACACACACACAAAACAAAACAACATCAAAGCTACGTTGCTTGGGGTGTGACCTTTGTTGACGATAATCTCTGGTGCGAGGTACTCGGGCGTGCCGCACATGGTCCAGGTCTTGTCCTCCACGCGCTTCGCAAAGCCAAAGTCTGATGTGATCGACGACAGACAAATGAGCCACAGGTTGGGGTGGGGTGTGAAGTGTGAGGTGCGAGGTGTAAGGTTTGAGGTGTGAGGCTAGACGCCTGAAATGGGGTATGCAGACAACACAGAACGACAACAAGAAAACAAAAATGAAGCACGAAGGTCTTCCCGCAACATCACGAGATGACACCCTGCGACCTCTCACCACAGCCACCAAGTTCACCCACCACCACCCATCAGCAGCATGACCGCAAAGATCATCAATCACCACCGCACCTGTGACGCGGATGTGGCCGCGGTGGTCAATGAGCATGTTCTCGGGCTTGAGGTCGCGGAAAATGACGTCCAGGTTGTGCAGATACTCAAACGCCAGCACCGTCTCAGCAGCAAAGAAGCGCGTCTGCACACGCGCGTTACAACGTGTGTGTGTGTGTGTGTGTGTGTGTGTGTGTGTGTGTGTGTGTGTGTGTGTGTGTGTGTGTGTGTGTGTGACAAAGAAAGAGGGTGAGTGCTGTGTTGCGAAGGTTCTTGCAACCCAACGCCACTGAAGCCAAGACCACGCCGTGTGCTTGAGAAATCAATGCCAGCAATGTCACCCACACCACACCATACAGCCACAACACATTGCATTGCAATTCCACTGCACCTGCTCCTCAGAGAAACGACGTTTGCGCTGCTTTTGGATGTGCGTAAACATCTCACCACCGTTGACAAACTCAAGCACAAAGTACAGGCACTAGCATCGTACGCGCATGACAGCGGGCGTGAGGTTACTCGTGCAAACTTATGTAACTGTGCGTGTGTAACTGTGTGTGCATCATATCGCATGGGTGACAGTGACATTGGCATCCTACTCGTACACAACAGCACACACACACATGTACACACGCATCACATGCACACACATGTACACACGCATTCCGCCCTTTTGGTTTCTCTGTGCGTCACACCGCACCTTGACGTCTTGGAAGTAGTCGTAGAGGGTAACAACGAATCGGCAGTCGATGCAGAAGAGAATGTTCTTCTCGTTGATCGTGTGTTCAACCTGAGACACACACAAACACACGCAAAAAGATGTAACGGTGAGGAAAAGGGTGATTGTGTGAGTGTGTGTTCAAGCAGGCACGCGACGTCTGACACTGAGTGAGTGAGTGAGTGTGTGTGTGTGTGCTTGCTTCATCCTCGTCCATGCAATACGATGTCCAATCGACAAGCAATCAAGCGCGCGCACATACGCACACACACTGTCTCTCACCCACCCACCCACCCATTACCCAACAGGGCTCACGTCACGACACCTGTCTGGTCTTGATGACGCGGTCCTTGTTGATGATTTTGACGGCCTTGTAGTCGTCACGCACGACGTTGCCGCTCTTGTCCTTCGACTGCGCCAACAACACGCGGCCAAACGAGCCTGTGCCAAGCGTTCGGCTGATCGAGAAGTCATGCAGTGTCTGCAGATACAAGATACAACAGCAACAGCGTGCCATGTGCACGAAACATCCATGCAACAAGATGGCAGGTGTTGTCAGGTGAGAGTGTTGCAGCGCATCCTTGCATGTAATCAAACAAGCAAACCTTCACGTGCATCTGTTCTCCGTCAGCACTGTTCACTTGCATCCATTCCCTGCCCCTCCCCTCATTTGCCACTGCTTCTGGTGGTCGCTCAAGCGCTCGCATACACCCACAAGCCACTGAATAAGCGCTTGAGCGTGCGTGCATGCACGCATATGCAAACACACACACACCAGCACGTCAAACAGATGGCGTGTACCTTTTCACTGACGTAGCCTGATGCCAGCTTCTTCAACCTTGCCTCAAACGCTGCGCGCTCTTTCTTCTTCCGGCTCTCTTTGGTTGCCTGTGTGCAAGCATGCGCGCGAGCGTGGCGTTGTCAGGATCAGGGGCAAGTGCGCACGGCAGCGAGGAGTGCGGCAACAGCAGCCAAAGGAACGTACAGGCAACCATTCAGCATGTACTATGCTGTCGACGTCCAAACACAAGCAGGGGGTGGGGGCAAACAAATGATGGGTTCGTGCGGTCAACATACGCGGCGATATGGACGAATCTCAAGATCGCCCTTCATCTTGGAGGAGCCCTCCTTCTTTGCGCGGCGCTTGGCAAACATGCTGTTAAAAGTGTACGTGTGCATATGCGTATGTGAGTGAATGTATGTGTGTGTGTGTGTGAGTCAGTGTGTGTCAGTGTGTGTGTGTGTGTGTGTGTGTGTGAGGGAGGCAGGATGCAACCGAGGTGCGTGCGTGAAGAGGAGAGCAATGCGGTTTGTGCAAGGGGTGCGTGGGTGCGCAACGACACACACACACGTACACACAGGCGCACACCCACGAACATCAACACACCGGTGATGATGACGTGCAGCAGCACACTCACTCACAGCAGCACACTCTCACAATGATAGAGTATGTTTGTTTGCTAGTCAGACCTGACGACGACGGTAGTTGGTGCCAGACGGGGTTAGTCGAGCCAACGATCAGCACAAACCGAGGACCACTGAATGGCAACAACATGTGATGTGACGGAAGAGGGGATCGGAAGACGTTGAGCGCACGAAGAAGTGTCGAGTCGGACACGACGGTGATCGGCTGCAGTGATGCAGGTGGTGGGTGGGCGACTACTGGAACGCAAACCGGGAACGGTTCCCGTCACACACCACAAAGAGAACAATCAACAAGTGGCTAGCAAGCAAGCAGCCCTCCAACAACAAACGGAGGACCCACCCACCTGTGGATCGAGTCACAGCAACTATGCAGGGGCGAGGGAGGGGGGGGTTTCGGCAGATCACTCGCGTCGCGAGACAGCTGGCGATGATCAACGAATCCACACGCAGACAGACAAGACAGAGACAAAGCGAGAGGAGGAGGCGGAGCAGGAGCAACCGCACACAAGCGTACACAGTTCAAGTGGGAGGCAGGCAAGCAGGGGTGGAGTGGAGTCGCTTCTGTGTGTGTGTGTGTGTGTGTGTGTGTGTGTGTGTGTGTGTGTTTCCTTAACAGCCAGCGAATAACAACAAAGGAATGTGAGGACGCAGAATTTTTTATTTTTTCCTGTGGGCCATTTCGGTTGAGCCAGAATGTTTGTAAAGATACACTGCAATTTTCTGTGTCAGTGGCTGGTACGAAACCGTTTTTGTTGTTGTTGGGTGTGGTGGTTGTTGTGTGTGTGTGCTCTGTTGTGTGTGTGTGTGTGTATGTGTGTGTGTGTGTGTGTGTGCTGTGTTGTGTGTGCTGTGTGTGTGTGTGTGTGTGTGTGTGTGTGTGCTTGGACCTTCTTGCTTGCTTGCTTGCTTGACTTGAACTGCTTGGCTGATTTCTGGGAGAGCATTTATTGTCGTAAGAACATGTGGTTGAATGTATGTATGTGCTCTGTTTTGTGGGTGTGTTGCGCGAGCTGTGTGACATGCGCCACTGCTGCGAGATGCTGCTGCTGTACAGCGCTGTTGTACTTGCATTTGTTGCTGGCTTGCATGCATGCAAGCACGCATGCATCCCAGCGTGTGTGTGTGTGTGTGTGTGTGTGTGTGTGTGTGTGTGTGTGTGCGCGTGTGTGCGTGGCTCACGCTCAGAGGAATTCGCGGTAGGTGGCGGGCGCCCGTTTTGCACGCCTGTCAGCAGCAACAAGGAGGGGGGGGGAGGGGAGTGGGGTGGCATATCAGTGTGTGTGTATGTGTGTACGTGTGTGTATGTGTGTGTGTGTGTGTACGTGTGTGTATGTGTGCGTTGCGGCAAGATGATGATGCACAAGCAATCACAACCACAACAAGCAGCGAGTCTGCATCCGCAAATCACTCAAACAACAAGCACGGTGCGGTTACATGGGTTGCGCACCTGTGTGACCACGCCGCCCAGATGCCCACAAACTGTGATGACAAACCACAAACGCGTGTGAGAATGAGTGAGTGAGTGTGCATTCGTGCATGCTACCAAGCAAGGAAAGGTGGAAACAGAAAGCAAAGCACAAGCAACATCACCCAGCACCTTTCCTCCTCACACACACTCTCTCACTCACACACACACACTCTCTCTCTCCTCTCTCACTCTCTCACACACACACACACTCTCTCTCTCACACACTCACACACACTCTCTCTCTCACTCTCTCTCACTCTCTCTCACACACACTCTCACACACTCACTCACACACTCACACACACTCTCTCTCACTCTCTCAAACACACTCTCTCACACACACACACACTCACTCAAACACACACACACACACTCTCTCTCTTTCTCTCTCTCTGCCCTGCTGCCGTGGCATAAGCAGCAGGTCGAGAAGAAGAAGAAGCACAGCGCACCATGGTGAAAGCAAACGTGAGGCCAACACCGCCACCAGTGTTCAGCACACGCTGCAAATTTGGCTTGAGCTTGTCGAAACACCCTTCGCACTGGTCCGTTGGCGCCTTCTTCGCAGGCTTGTCCGGCGTGCACTGGGCAGTCACGCATCCTGTGACCGTGTGTGCGTGTGTGTGTGTGTGTGTGTGTGTGTGTGTGTGTATAGTTGTGCGTGCGAGTGAGAGTAGTTGTGTGTGAGTGAGTGTGTGTGTGTGTGTGTGAGTAGTTGTGCTCATGTGCTCATGTGCGTGTGTATGAGGCGAAATTTGCAGTTGACGTTGGCAGGTGCACAAACAGCCGCATGTACTGCAGAGAGGACACCGTATGCAGCAGGTGTGCGCGCTGTACGCGGCTGCTTACCACGAGGGCAGTATTCTGGCTCAAGAACGGGGCCGTAGCAGCTGTTGATGCCGGTGGTGTTGGTGTAGAAGCCAAGGCAGTCGCCGTGGCGTTGAATTTCGCCCTACAGAGCACGCAGTGACAACAGAGCATGGTTGGAACCGGCGCGAGTCGTGGCGGCGGCATGAGTGACGCTGAATTGAGATGTGGCAGGCGAGAGCAGCTGTCCGCGTCGTCTCGCACAACCAAGGACACGCGTGTGCTTGCAAGCAAGCAACAAACAAGCAGTAGCAGCAGCACAAGAAAAAGATAAACACAAAGGCAGAAGAAGGCACGCTCACACGAACACAAGCACAAACAATCAAGCAAGCATCCATGTGTAGACAACCACACAAACACACAGACACATTCAACAACAAACGCACACACGCACAACACGGGAAGATGGCGGGTGTGTACAGACCTTGGTGGCGTTTGAGCTGCCGCACCAGGCGGATTCAAGGAGGGACTGCTGCTGGGAGGAGGAGATGGAGAGGGCGGCGATGGACGAGGAAAACTGGATCAGGAACAGCAGGCCAAGCAGGATCATGTACTGCAGCGCGCGCGCACGAGAACACACCAGATTGTGAGTTTGTGGGATCGGGCCGATTCATATGTGTGTGCGTGTGTGCGCGTGTGCGTGCGTGTGTGCGCGTGTGTGTGTGTGTGTGTGTGTGTGGTGTATGTGTGGTGTATGTGTGCGTGGTGCGTGTGTGCGCGCGTGTGTGTGTGTGTGTGTGTGTATTCACCGTCACGTGAACATACACGCACGCACGCACACATGCATACGAGCACATAAGCACTCACTGCGAAGAGGATGCCGGGCTTGTTTCCAAACGTGCCGTACAGGCCGAGGAAGGCCACAAACACCAGGAGCGACCACGCAGCAATAATTCCACCTACAGCGCCAATCATGGATCGAAGATGAGACCATTAGGACACACACACACACACACACACACACGCACACACGCACACATCCGAACACAGGAACGACAACAGCATGTGAAACATGCATGCATACATGCGACACAATGCACGGCCGATCAACCAGGAAAGCAAAAGCAAGCAGGCGAGAACGCAAGCCATTATCCCTCCCGCCGCTGCAGATGCAGCAGCATAGAACGCACCAAATGCAGGCAAGTTGACGTTCACTTTGCCCTGCGCCGTTGCCACCACAGCAATCACCATAATGCCAAGCAACTAAACCAACAACGGGCGCCAAGATGTGAGCGGCAAGAGAGAAGCACATACACACGCACAGCCGCATCCGCACACACGCACACACACACACACAGAGCCGCACACGCACACACACACACACAGCCGCACACACCAGGTAGAGGCTGTTGATGATGAGAAGGTACACGGCCGAAGCCGGGCACGACTTCTTGTGCGTCTCCGAGGTCATGGCGTTGCCTTCTGTGCTCGTGTGGACGTCCTCGTCTTGTCCTGCTCCTATTTGGCTGTTGTCGGTCGTTCTGTTTCGCCTGTATCCGTTTGTGTGTGCGGTTCGTGCGCAATTTTACCACCTGACAATAGATTTTACCAACTCGAGGACTGCTTTTACCACCAAGTCATTTTACCACTTTTGTTGCTGAAAAACTGACGGCGGACAAATCGAGGCCGCGAAATTTTCGCCGCGCGACACGATTGACGACACTCGTTTTGGGTTGAGAGGTGGGGATGCACCACCATCGATTGTTGTGAGCAGCAACGTGGGTGCTGGTTGGCTTGTGTTTGGCTTTGCTTCGCTGTGTTGCCCACCGATCTTGCCTGTGAGTGCAGTGCAAGTGCATGTATCGTCAGCTTCTTCGTCGTTCATGTTCGTTATGTTCATTTGTGTGTGTGTGTGTCTGTTTTCTGCTTCGGTTGTTGCTGCTTCGGTTGTTGCATTTCACGACAGCAGGCTGCAGCCACAACGCGAGACGACCTTTGTTTGCTCAAAGGACGAGTGGATCTTCGAGTGCCTCGCTTGACAATTTCGGCTGCGACCCAGTCCCTCTGCCCCCCCCCCACGTTCATCCATCATGCAGTGTACAGACTATGGAAAGCCAGGAGACGGCTCCAGTGCAGGCACGGCCTGCGCCTTGTCAAACAAGTCCAGCCTCCAAGACGCCTTCAAGAAGTTCAAGGCGCGACGCAAGGTACGGGCCCCGCAAAGGCGCAACAAATGCGTTGTCGATGAGCCACTTCGACGCACAAGATGGGGTCTTGTCGATAGATGAACATGCACCCTTGCGATCTCCATCATCTTGCGATCTCCATCGTCTTGCGGACTGCCAACGCTCACCACTGACACCTGCTCGTGTATGTGTGTGTGTGTTTGATGGTTAGGGCGAGATGAAGAAGCTGAAAAAGCTGGAGAAGAACGCCGGCGCCATCAAGGTGAACGGATGTTTCGTGCGGTGCATATGCAGACACACATCCACCTTCGCACCACGCACGCATGCACATACACAACGCACACACATACAAACGCACACACACAAACGCACACACATACGCACAAGCATACGCACACACACACACATATACACACACATGCACAACAATTTGCGCAATTGGTTATCGATCCAACACACATGTCTGACATGACTCCTCTCCTTCTTGTCCTGCTCCATTAATTGCAATGCAGCGCACGCCAGAGATGAAAGAGCAGCTTCGACACAAGTTCCTACAACAAGTCCTCAAGTACCAAGGCGTGCCCTACCACAAAAAGTACCACCAAGATCCGCAAAGTAAGCACACAAACGCGGGAATGCGCACGTGCGTATGCGTGTTGTGTGTGTATGTGTGTGTATGTGTGCATGTGTGTATGTGTGTATGTGTGCGCGCGTGTATGATCACTCTTGCGTGCGCTGGCTGACCATGTTACTGCAAGCTGGTCTCACCACCCCCCATTCCCTTGATTTTGGCACGCAAACAGGCGAGCACTACAACGCACCCCTGTATCTTGACTGTTGCGGACTTGTGCGAAGAGCACAGCGAGATCTGGAGCGCCAGTTTGGGTTCCGTCTCGGCCGCTGGAACCAGGCATACCAGGTGTGTGTGTGTGTGTGTGTGTGTGTGTGTGTGTGTGTGTGTGTGTGTGTGTGTGTGTGTGTGTGTGTGTGTGTGTGTGTGTGTGTGTGTGTGTGTGTGTGTGTGTGTGTGTGTGTGTGTGTGTGTGTGTGTGTGTGTGTGTGTGTGGATGTGGGTGTGTGTGTGGGTGTGGGGGGGGGTGGGTGGGTGTCGTTCCCGAACGCTGTCTTCGTTCTGTGTTTGCATAAACGTTCCTCTTCAGGAACTTCTTGTTTTCTTCACTCGAGCCCATCACCACTTGCGCGCTCACGCCCAATGCCTTGCACGCGTCTTGCTTCACCCCTGCAGTTTGACACGCTGCCCATTGAGCTGACGAAAGAAGAGATGAAGCCAGGCGACCTCGTGTTCATTTCTGGAACCTACTTTAACCCCAAAGTCAGTCGCGTGCACAACAGGATGCGTAAACCCCACTGTGTGCGTGTGTGTGTGTGTGTGTGTGTGTGTGTGTGTGTGTGTGTGTGTGTGTGTGTGTGTGTGTGTGTGTGTGTGTGCTTGTGCAGGTGCGGTCGTACTTGCTACACATGCAACACAAAGAGTGCTGACAGATGTTCACACGCACACACGCACACGCACACCTGCGCGCGCTGGTTTGTTTGTGGCAGAGCAAGAAGCAGAAGCACGACATGGTGCATGTCGAGGTGTGGATGGGCGATGGCGAGAAGACGGTCGGCGCACGCTACCAGCGAGGCGTTGTGCAGGTGAGCATCACACGCGATCACACACTCACCAGTGTGTTTGTGCTTGATCACCAGTGTGTTTGTGCTTGATCAAGTGCACCGCTCGACTTGGTGCTACCACAATGCATGTACGTGCATGCACAGCACTACATTCACCTCACCCGCCCACACACACACACACACACACCTCACACACACACACACACCTCACACACACACACGCACACCATCTGTCGCGCATGCGGGCAGGTTCACGATTCCTATGCATTTGAGAGCAAGTCGTACTACAACATGAAATATTACTTTCGGTCCATCGACACCTGGCTCGATGGCATCTGCAAGAGGTGACGAGCACCATGTCCCGTTCCACATGTTGCGCATGTGTGTGTGTGTGTGTCACGCTGTTCCGTCATTCCCCAACTTGCGTGCATCCAAACTTCGTCTCACATACAATGGGTTGCCACGCTGCAGTTTTTGCCCCGAACACGAGTGGAAGACTCTGCATCCATCTCGTGAGTGTCGTCATGATTTGGATTGCACTCTTTGTTCAAAAGTTTGGACCATTTCGAAAATCACTCGCTGTCACTCAATCCTGTGTTCCGACACGTACACATGCCCACACACTAGCACATTGGCATTTGCATCCATACACAGACAGCATGCCTCACACACACGCACGCACACACGCACACACACGCACGCACACACATCCTCTCCTTGTCCTCCACCGCCACTCCTGCTCGCAGGCTCCAAGGTGAAATCAAAGTACTCCATCTTTCGCCAACAACAACAGCAGCAGCAGCAGCAGCAACAACAGCAACAGCAGGCGTCGTCACCGAGCAGTCGCTCATCCTCGTGTGCTGCCAGTCAGCAGCAGCAGCAGGCTGACGATGATGACGATGATGATCAACGCCAATGTCAACAGCATCGACAGCAGCGTGCATTGCATGGGCAGAGGCGAAGGTCGTCATCCAACTCACCGCAGCAGAGGGGTCTGAGTGGGGTGGTGTCACGCCACCGCTCCGTGTCGAAATCGCCGCCAACTGCAAACACAAACAGGAGGAGTTCTCCTGCTCTCCTGTCATCGTCGTCGTCGTCATCGTCGTCGTCATTGTCGTCACGCAGGCGTGCACGGCCCCGCATGTCGCCATCACCGACACCAACATCGACACCAACAACTGCGACAACAACAACTGCGACAACAACAACTGCGACAACAACAACTGCGACAACAACATCGCGGGCGTCTCCGTCGCCATCGTCACGTGGCGCATCACGCCGGGCGTCGTTGGACGTCGCTGTAAAGAACGTTTCCTTTTCAGCAAGTCGGGGATCGTCCACACATCAATCCCCGATCAATACTTCAACTTTTGTCACGGGAAAGGCGGCGCGTACATCCAGCAATCCTTCCAGCCGCCGCAGTAGCACAAGTCCACCCACACACGCGCGCAAGCCAGACATGACATAAGCAAACAGCACGCTCGAACCAACACAAGAGCCATCATCTCTTCTTTCTTGCTTCCTTCATTCCTTCCTGTCTTGCTTCCGTTTTCCCTCGTTAACACATGCACGCACACATACATGCACGCATATGCACAGATAACACGCTTGCGCGCCGTAAAGTCCCGCATGCAATACACATCACCAGCTTTGTCAGTCTTCAAGCAAATGAATCATGTAATCACTCTTGCATACAGTTGTATTTGCTCCTGGCCATCACCATCCCATATCCCGCAAAACACGCATGGTGCATCCTAGCAACAACAAACGCACGGTGTAGACCAAACACGGGTCACACACACGCACACGCACACACCACACACGCATGCACGCAAACTCATGCTGCAAACCAAATACGAATCACACACACACACACACTCGTGGTGCAAACCAAACACAAGTTAAACACACACACGCGCGCGCGCCAATACAAAGCAAGCAAAGCGACCAAAGCAGCCAACGCATGCAAATGCCAACTGCTACGCCGTGGAAGAGTCATTCAAACCGCCAAACACATCCGCACGTCCATCACCGTGGCCACCACGCTCAGTGTCGTACACATGAGTGCGGTTGAAACCAGCCACGCCGTGGCTCGTTGTCCCATCGCCAACACCACGACTGGCACCAGCAGAAGCAGCACTCGTGCTGGTGCTGCTGCTGGAACTGGTGCTGTGAGCGGTGTTGCTGTGGGGCGTGGCAGAGCTCGTTGATGCACGCTGTTCGTGTTGCGCATCCATCCCTGCTGTCGTCGCTGTCGCAGCCACCGAGGGGAAGCGCTCGTGGTCGTGGTCGTGTGTGAGCGGCAAGCGGTCAATGAGGACAACGAGCCCAAACACAGACGTGCACGCGTACTCGCCCGAGCGACAGTACTGCCAACCGGAAATGGTCTCCACTGCGCGCAAGCAAGGAACCACGCAAGCAAGCCAGCAAAATGGGGGAGGGGGTGCAAAACATGATGTGAGAAAAAAATATTGTGTTAAGTGAGTTGACGTGGTTATTTTGCTTGATTAGTGGTGGTGACAGTGACAGTGACAGTGACAGTGGTGATGGTGATGATGATTGTGATGATTTGAGCAAGTGCTCTTCGCCATCGTCGTTTCATCAGCATCATCATCATCATCATCATCATCATCATCATCATCATCATCATCATCATCATCATCATCATCATCATCATCATCATCATCATCATCATCATCATCATCATCATCATCATCATCATCATCAGCAGCAGCAGCAGCAGCAGCAGCAGCAGCAGCAGCAGCAGCAGCAGCAGCAGCAGCAGCAGCAGCAGCAGCACGC